TTGTGGTAGCGGCTCTTCTGACTGGTAGTTTATCCTCTGACACTGACTGACTGAGTTCTACCTTAGACCAGTAGAGCTTTCCTCATCCCTCGGTCTACTACAGCCCCCCTCCCCCACTGCACGGGTAGACTAGGGGACCTCCTCGTCTCGGTCCTTTGTTATGTCAGGGAGGGGAGGAAGACCACTACCCACATCGTACCCAAGTGATTGACCCTTATCTCTCATCTTGGGGCAGGCGTGTGGATCGCTGGTTGACTATCTCCCCATTCCCTTCCTCCCCTCTCTCACTCTCCTCCCTCTTCTCATTCTCCTTCCCTCTCCCCATCCCCTCTCCTCTCCCCTCCCCATTCAATATCCTTCTTTTTACCACACATTATCCTTCCTTCACTCCCCTTCTCTTCCCCCCCATTATCCTCCCCTCCCTCACTCTCCTTACCCATTATCCTCCCCTCTTCTCACCCAATATCCTCCCTCCTCATTATCCTCCCCATTCTCCCCACCCATTATCCTCCCATCTCCCACCATTATCCTCCCTATTCTCCCCACACCGTATCCCTCCCCTATTCTCCCCACCCATTAACCTCCTCTCTTCTCCCCACCCAGTATCCTCCCCTCCCTAGTAACTATGAGGGACGCAGTAGGAGAGTTAAGTGGCAGGTTACCCCATCCGTCACCCCGCAGGGCGTCGTGTGTGTGTGTGTGTTGTAAATACCATAATATTTACGTCAGGTTTTGAGGCACCACCCATCCCCTCTGGTGGCTGCCGAGACGATGTACTGTAGTTAGTTACACGTACAGCTTATATCATCACACACACACACACACACACACACACACACCGACACCAATTCCCTGAGGTTGGTAAATAAACACTGTCCACCACAAGACGAACCCAATATAGAGATGTTGATTGAAACGCGATACAGCACTTTACACGAGCGGGGTTAACAAGGGTCATTGACTTGAGGTAAGGAGTGACATTACCTTGTGGTTCTTTCATTTTTCACGATGTAGAATAAGTTGTGTTGTGGTCCTTAGAGAATAACTTAAGTTTAATATATGATTGAGATGGTGTTAGTTATTTCTTAGTTAATGTGTTGGAGTTACAGGTAAGTCAGGTGAGGTAGATTGGGTTATATCAGGTATTGTACATGTGGTACCTTACATATGTAGCCTATACGTACTGTACATACCACTTATATGTAACATACTATTCATATGTACACAACCACTCATACATACACACCACTCATACATACACACCACTCATACATACACACCACTCATACATACACAACCACTCATACATACACACCACTCATACATACACACCACTCATACATACACACCACTCATACATACACAACCACTCATACATACACACCACTCATACACACACACCACTCATACACACACACCACTCATACATACACACCACTCATACATACACACCACTCATACATACACACCACTCATACATACACAACCACTCCTTTTGCCACACACCACTCAGCACATACACACCACTCATATACACACCACTCATACATACACACCACTCATACATACACCACTCATACATACACACCACTCATACACATACACACCACTCATACATACACACCACTCACGAGATCTGTTTACCAATGCAGACCTGTTTTACTCATTTTGAGCCTATTTTGGGTTTATTATCTTGGGGATTGATGTTCTCTTGTTTTATCACAGCGTACACACACACACACACACACACACACACACACACACACGCACACACACACACACACACACACACACATACACACACACACACACACACACACACACACACACACACACACACATACACACACACACACACACACACACACACACACACACACACACACACACACACACACACACATACACACACACACACACACACACACACACACACACACACACACACACGCACACAGTACATAAGCGCACTCGCACTTCCTGCCTCTTAGATGGCGTCATACCAGTAGTTCATGCTTCAGCACATAGATGGCAGTAGCGGATAGTAACAATAGTAGTAGTAGTAGATGTGATGACAGTAATGTGAAGTAGTGGATGTCGGTAGTAGTGGGGTATAGGTAGGGTTTTGTTGCTGGCTACGTGATATTGTATGTGAAGGTATGTTGCTACTGTGATATTGGGGGGGATATTGCTACTGTTTGTGGGGGGTGTATGTTGCTACTGTGTGTGTGTGTGAAGAGGTATCATTACTTACTACAGAACTGTGTGGGGGTGTGGAGGTAGAGATACGATGAGTAGATCAATATACATACAGTGTCGTTCCTTGTCTGTCCGTCTGTCTGTCCGTCTGTCCGTGTCATTGAAGCAAATTTGATGAACTTTTACCAGAAGTATCTAGTTAACAAGCCGGATGTGTCGAGAATAACTCCCACGTACCCTAGCATGAAGGTCAAGGTCACACTTTAAGGTCATAGGTCAAATTATCAATGTAAAACGAACATCAGGATTTTTTTTTTTTTTTTTGTCCACATTACTTATACCTGTGAGGTGAAGGTTATACAGGTGAGGCTAGGTTAGGTTAGGTTAGGTTAGGTTAGGTTAGGTTAGGTTAGGTTAGGTTAGGTTAGGTTAGGTTAGGTTAGGTTA